GATCAAATATACAACAGTATGTGAGATCAATGGATCAGCATTAGTATAAGCCAGAGGCTAGGATGTGCACCAATCTTGTACCTACTATACTAGATCTTGTAGGCATTTCTCATTTTGTTTGTTGTACATCATATTGTAGACTCATCTCGAAATTGAGGTTCTATTCATCATTTCTTGTTGTATTAGATCTTCCAGAAATTTCAAAACTAATTGTACAACATTTGATACTTGTGCATGCTGTACTGGATTTTGTCGACGTTCGCTATTTTTTTGTCTTTGCCTTGTTATAGGCATTGTAAAAATTGGCAAAGCTTCGGGACAGTGTAGGTCAGCTATTTGATTGTTGTACCTTATTTTACAGAAACTTCTTAAACTACTATTAGAGTATGCCACTTCTTTGTTTATTTCGCAAACATTTTACAAATTCATGATATTTGTTAAATATGCTGACCTGTAAAACACTTTGTTGTTTATAGCAAATTGAACTTTTTTAAACACTTCTCAGATTTATTTTATAGCATATATCATTTCTTTACTTGTTGTTTAGGTCCTTTAGGAAGTTTATAAACCTATGGTGCAGGGTACGTCAATATTTTACTCCCTTTTAATAAACCATGTGTAAACCTATGGTGCAGGGTACGTCAATAGTTTACTCCCTTTTAATAAACCATGTGTAAACCTATGGTGCAGGGTACGTCAATATTCTACTTCCTTTTAATAGACCGCGTGTAAACTTATGGTGCAGGGTACGTTAATATATTACTCCCTTTAACAGACCACGTGTAAACCTATGGTGCAGGGTATGTTAATATTTTCTTCCTTTTAATAGACCACGTGTAAACCTATGGTGCAGGGTACATCAATATTTTACTCCCTTTTAGTAGACCACGTGTAAACTTATGGTTCAGGGTACGTTAATATGTTACTCCCTTTTAACAGACCATGTAGTTTATTAAATGTTACGGTCAATCCCACTATTCGTTGGTAAAAGAGTAGTCCAAGAGTTGGCGGTTGGTGGTGATGACTAGCTGCTTTCCCTCTAGTCTTACACAATGCTAAATTAGGGACGGCTAGCCCTCGTGTAGCTTTGCGCGAAATTCAGAACAAACCTAGACCTTGTAGAGGTTTCATATATTTTATATTTTGCATAATTTTTTTATTAATTGTACAAATTCGTGAAAACATTTTTATTTTGTTACATGAACAGCACTTACAATACTACGTCTTGCAGAACATTCCTATTCTATTGTGAGCGTAACTACACGTACTGTACTGAATCTTGTAGCAAGTTCTGAAACGTTTGCTAACGTGCACATTATTTCCTTGCAGTATTAGGGCATTTAGGTGGCATTTTCACTTGAAGTACCTGGAATTTTTTTAATTTCGTTGTAGTATACACGTTATACTTACATATACTTGTGATTTAGTGTACCCCTCTTCTTTATTTACTTGATCAAATTGCCTAAAAATTTCTCATTTTATTATTATGTGCTATACATTCTTACTTGCTCTACAGTGTAGTCTCTTCTTTAATTAAAAAAAAATATAAATCAAAAATGTTTCAGACTTGTGATAGATTGTACATTACCTCTTTACTTTCCTTACAAGATTCCGTAGAAATTTATCATTCTTGGTTTAATGTGTGCCACTTCTTTATTTTATGTGTTGTAGCTTGTAGAAACTTATCATTATTGGTTTAGTGTGTGCCACTTCTTTATTTGATGTGCTGTAGCTTGTAGAAACTTATCATTATTGGTTTAGTGTGTGCCACTTCTTTATTTGATGTGCTGTAACTTGTAGAAACTTATCATTATTGGTTTAATGTGTGCCACTTCTTTATTTTATGTGCTGTAGCTTGTAGAAACTTATCATTATTGGTTTAATGTGTGCCACTTCTTTATTTGATGTGCTGTAACTTGTATAAAATTGTCATCATTGGTTTAGTGTGTAGCCTACTACTTTATTTGATGTGCTGTAACTTGTATAAATTTGTCATTATTGGTTTAGTTTGTGCCTACTTATTTATTTGATGT